GGGAGGGAGGGAGGGAGGAAGGGAGGGAGGAAGGGAGGGAGGGAGGAAGGGAGGGAGGGAGGGGAGAGACTAAGAAATTCCAAGTAACCATTTCCCCACTCATCTCTTAGTCCTCAAAGTGTAGGAAACATTTAATGCTTGCAAAATATGGCAAAACATTCCCTTCCTATCCCTAATGAGAACAGAATAGGTCAAGTCTATAACTGTTGAAGTTAAGATTTAAGATTTTCAAGTTAATTAACTAAAGCAGTGGATTTTTTAAATTCCCAATTTAACAATAAAGCATTTAAAATGTAAAAAGGCAGTTAAACTTGTTTATATGATTTTTATTGAAGAAAAATACCCAGGTCACTCAATTTGGGCTTTGTTTCATAAAACAACAGAAACATCTGCCTTTGTAGCAATTCTGTTGTTTCTCCCTGGGTGGCAAAAATACATAGCAACTGTCTTTCATTAACCTTTGACCTAGAGCGAGCTCACTTTCCACCAATGGTCATGTCTCACTATTTCACTGAGTCTTGATCACACACAATTAAGTCATGGGGTCTTCTGGATAGCTAAAGTAATTTGAGAAAATAAAAGCCAATCATTTTTAAGCCAAAAGCATTACCTCCCCCAGCAAATATCTCTGAGATTATAGCAATGCATAAAATATAGTTCTTGTATAAAATGAATGACATTTTCTAGACTGATTCTTCAATTCTGATTGCAAACAAATCCATTTGCTTCATATGTCGACCATGATGGACCCCTTGAAAAACGACCCCTTGGTCCTCTTTCAGTAGTTGCAGGCCTTGGGCTGGAAGGTCTAAACGGCACTGGCTAGAATGAGGTAGAATGACAGTGCTGTCCCCTTATCCACTTTAGCCATCCCTATGGAAACCCAGGGACTCCAGCCTTTTCCTCAATGTATTCGAAACCTAAAGACATCTCCTAAGTTTCAGTGAGCTTATTTTGGCTTTGTTTTTTGCCTAGCAGCAACTGTCCATCATGGCTCCCTGGGCAGCCCATGGGCTCTGCAGTGACCACCTCTGTCCCCCAGGTCTAAAGCTCACCCATCTGGTGCCCTTTGGAACAGGGCTCCCTGCAGTTCAAGTTCAGTTGGGCCCCTTACACTTGCCAGGGGCTGATTTGCTACTGACTATTCTTTGCTGTAATGACAACTGTGCTGTAAGACAAATAATGTATTCTTCATGGAAAACAATTTCAGCCTTCTTAGTGTTCCTCAACCGCCATTCATTCACATTGCTCATCTTCCAACTGACACAAAAACTCACTTTCCTGACGACAATTCAATGTGTGTTGTGTTTCACAGAATTTGTCCTCTAATACCCCGCTTCCTCCTTGTTTTGTTACAAGATGGTAAAATTCTCTAAGCAAAAAGATGATTCCTTCTTCCTTTCATCTTAAAAGGACAATTCTTTCCTGATAACTGCGTTGGTAACTTCCCAAATCTAACTTGAAAAGAAAAAGCACACTTTAAGGCACATTATTTCTGAGAGTTTTGGTTTAGAAAGCTATGGTTCTAGTGAGCTAAGGATATTTGGAACAAAACTGGGCCTGTCTCAGAATAACGGCCAGCCTAATAGCTCAACTGATCCTATGTGGAGAAAGGTTGTGTGTGTGTGTGTGTGTGTGTGTGTGTGTGAGCAGTATACATTTTGGAATCTTCTGTATGCCCTAAAACACACAATATGGATCCAATTAAGTTCAGCTGCCTTATGTTAGTAATAAAATTGAAAGAGGAGAGAGACACAGACAGACAGACAGAGACAGAGGAGAGGAGAGGGAATGGGTGGGGAGAGGAGAGAAAGGGAGAAGGGAGGGGGAGGGAAGAGGACAGGAGAAAAGGGGAGAGGAGAGGAAGAGAGTGAGGAAAGAGAGATTGGGGGGCGGGGAGCCTTGTGTACCCTGTCCTACGTCCCAGAGAACCATAACTCCAACTCCTGCGCATCCTCAGAGCCGCAATAGCCCAGCGTGGCTGGTACCCAGCTCGGCACTCCAACCTTACAGCTGCTGGGTTTCCCCCAGATCTGGAGAAGATGTATACCGGGGCTGGAGCCCAATGCTGCGGCCCCACCCCACCCTCGTGGCCGGGCTTGGGCTGGGCTCCGCGGCGGCCGGACTCACACGAGCGCAGACGGACAGGGCATCTGGTTCCAGCCACAGTTGTACTGTGCCTGGACGAAACTCTCGCTGCCCTCCAGCACGGAGCAGCTCACGTTCTTGTTGACGATGTAGGCGCACCAGTTCCTGGGGTGGAGAGAGAGGGGGAGAGAAGACGGGCCGTCAGCGGGAGAACAATGAGGCCGGGAAGGGAGGACGAGAGGACCGAGCCGGGGCCAGCGCGGGGGTCAGGGAACCCGTGCACCTCTCGGGAGGCGGGAGCGGAACAAAGCCGCCACCCGAGGAGTGACGGGGCGCCTTTGCAGAGCTTGCGCCCTTCCCCACCCACGACAGCAGAGCGGTGGGGCCCAGGGGTGCCTGGAAATCCGGGGGTCCCTTTCCAGGGGGTCGTGCCCGGCCGTACCACCGTGCGGGTCCCTCCCGGCGTCCCCGCTGCACGTTGGCACCGCGTGTTGAGAGATCGCCCGAGGCGGGGTTGCCCCGGGACCCCATGGGGGTCCCCTGGCTCACAGCTCCAGGTCAGGGAGGCACAGGCGCGGGGGGGGGGCCTAGGGCGCTTGGGTTTGGGGTGAGCAGTCCCGGCGCGCACTTACTTGTTCCTGGCGCTGGGCCGCGCAGGGTGCCCGGGCTGCGGGCCGGCGTAGCACAGCCCGGTGCCACCCAGGGCCAGCAGCGCCAGCGCCCAACACCAGGGCGCGTGGGGTCGGCACATGGCGGGCGAGAGCGGGGTCCGCAGCGCAGCGACCCGGGCTTAGCGCACCAGGCCCCGGGCCCCCTGGGGTAGAAGCGGGAGCTCGCGCCCCAGCCGCGCTCCGCCAGCGCCCCTCGGCTCCTCGCTCCCACTTCTCCTTCGCGCTGGCTTCTCTGCGGTCCCTCAATGACGCACGGGTCCCCCCGGGTGCCGCCCTCTCTATTTCACTTCCCTCTCCGAAACGTGACTCTCCCCGCACCGGAGTCCAGTCCCTTCGCCTCTCGGCAGGGGGCATGGGGTTAGGGGTCTGTGTTACAGAATTTCCAATTACTCATTCCTTTGGTCTCTTCCCAGAACCCGGCTACTCCCCGCGAACCCCCCAGACTCTCCGGAAGCAGCCACAGTCCACAGTGGGCCACTCTGGCTGTCCCCACCCCGGCCTGGGTGCCAGCCTCCTGTGGAGAAGGAGGGACACCAGTATCATCAGCCCCCGGGGCAGGAGATAGGGCCCCAACTCAGATTTCCTCTACTGGCAAGAAAGACGCGACCATGACCCCAAAACCCTTAAGGACTTACAATCTGAGTTGAGAAGGACATGAACTGCCTTTACTCATTCATTAAAGTTGCCTGTCCATTTAAAGAGTTTGTGAGGACAGCTGAACAGGATCGAGAGAGAGCTGGAGAGAGGGCTAGAGCTAGCAAGGAAGCGAGGGAGGGAGGGAGGATGAGGGAGAGAGAGAAAGAGAGAAGGAGGGGGGAGGGAGAGAGGCACCATGGTACCCTCTTTCCCCAACAGCTTCTGAAGCACACTCCAACTCTGCCTTACACAAATGACTGGAAGCTGATCTCACAGTCCCTGCCTGTTGGTCCTACTCGGGCCTTTCTTCTATCAGTATTAAAGGCTTCTACTCCACTTTAGAAGGCTTCTGAGTCAGGCACCAGTGGCTCCCTCCTGTAATCCTAGCATCTCAGGAGGGGGAGATCTGAGGATGGAGGTTCAAAGCCAGCCCAGGCAGGGAAGTCTGTGAGACCCTGATCTCCAACAAACCACTAAAAAGCCGGTTGAGCTGTGGCTAAAATAGTCAGGTGCTAGTCTTGATTAAAAGAAGCTCAGAGACTGTGCCTGGGCCTGGAGTTCAAACCCCAAAACGCTAACAAAACAAACCCTTTCCATTTCAGAGGGATTCAGAATAGCTGAGACACTGCTATGCTTTTCGGCTTCTTTGTATGTGTCCTGCCTATTCTTGAGTTACACACATCTCTACCAATTTCTTTTTAGAATGCAGTAACTCCACAGAAGAATGTTATATAAAAATCACTACCAGCAGAGTGTAGTGGACCACACCCTTCATCCCAGCACCCCAGAGGTTGACGCAGGAGGGTGATACGTAGATGACACACTGGCATACATACATACATTGGGGTACATAGAAAGACCCCATTTTCAAACCAAAGCAAAGCAAAGAAGCAAAATTATCACCAAAGTGGTACAGTCTCAGAGGTGCTGGCCAAGAGCTCTGTATGGGAGGTACCCCGCTGCTTCTAACCAATACTTTAGTGAGATTTTAGCAGAAGGCCTAGGTGTGCGCAGTTTGGATGAGCTCACAGCTTACCATTGGCTGTGAGTTGTTTTGGTTCTGTGAGGGTAAAGCTTTGTGAGGTTCTGACTGTACAGAATGAAGCTGTTGATTCATTTTATCTCTCATTTGCTTTCATGGTGTTGTTGAGCCTTTTGATTTGCAAATGGAAGGAAGAAAATTCTCTAAGTAAGATTTTTATAAGAGCTAAGCAGAAAATTATACCATGTAAGGACATAATCTGTTCGTGAACTTCCTAAATGGAAGATCATGGACTGAAGTCATCCCAGTCTTCAAAAGAGCCACGCTAGGGGGGAAATAACAGAAAGAGATAAAAAGCTGTCTTGCATAACCCAATCGCTGTCTGCGCCTTTCCTGTCCTCCCTGTCCTTATCACTTTGGTCCATAAGTGATGTGGGGAAGAAACACTCTTTACAAACAGAAGATGAAGGAGCGTGACATGAAGTCATGTCATGTCTCTCTATGCTAACGTACCTTCTCTTTGATACAGGTAATTCTACAACTCAAAAGTGGCTTGAACTAATCAAGCCAAATCTAGTTTTTCCACTCAATCAGATATTCCAGGAACCTCTCCAAGAGCTTGAGACCAACTGTGCATTGGGATGATACAATATTCACTTGGCCTCTGAAGCTATGGCATCCACATTTGTGAATTCAACCAAACACACACACCAACAAATACTTTTAAAAAAATTGGGTCTGTATTAAATATGTACAGACATTTTTTTGTCATTATTCCTTAACAATACAGTGTTTGACATTCACAGGAGCATGTATATTGCATTAGGTATTATAAGAAATCCAGAGTAGGGGCTGGGAAGGTGGCTCAGTGGTAGAGCGCTTGCCTTGCATGCTCGAGACCCTGGGTTCGATTCCTCAGCACCACATAAGCAAAAAGAAAAAAGCCAGAAGTGGCGCTGTGGCTCAAGTGGTAGAGCGCTAGCCTTGAGCTGAAGAG